TATCCCTGGGGCTGACTGCTCTTCTGTCCGGGTTCAAGACTTTTATCCCCTTTCTCCTGCTCTTCCAGCCTGCTATTCTGGGCAGGCCTGAGTTTCCCCTCCTCACCTAATCCCTTCTGCTGATTGCTCTTCTCTCTGGCTTCCTGGATTTTATCCCCTTTCTCCTGCTCTTCCAGTCGGCTACTCTGGGCTTCCCTGAGTTGTCTCTCCTCACCTGTAACACTGGGGCTGATTTTACTTGCATCTAATATTTTACATATTACATCTTACTTGCAGTAAGATTTTACTTGCATGTAATATTAATTATATTGTTTGATTATTTCCATGTTCTGTGGGATCACCTTTCTTTGGAATGAATACAAATATGGATCTCTTCCAGTCAGTTGGCCAAGTAGCTGTCTTCCAGATCTCTTGGCATAACTGAGTGAGTGCCTCCAATGGGGCACCTGTTTGTTGAAATATCTCAATGAGTATTCCGTGAATTCCTGGAGCCTTGTTCTTTGCTAATTCCTTCAGTGCAGCTTTGACCTCTTCCTTCAATACCATTAGTTCTTTATCCTATGCCAACTCCTGAAATGGATGAAGATCGACCAGGCCTTTTTGGTACAGTGACTTTGTGTATCCCTTCCATCGTCTTTTGATGCTTCCTGTTTTTTTCAGTATTTTGCCCATAGAATCTTTCAATATTGCAACTCAAGGCTTACATTTTTTCCTCAGTTCTTTTAGCTTGAGAAAGGCTGAGCATGTTCTTCCTTTTTGGTTTTCTAACTCCAAGTCTTTGCACATTTGATTATAGTAGTCGACTTTGTCTGCTTGAGCTTTTCTTTGAAATCTTCTGTTAAGCTCTTTTTTCTTGTCATTTCTTCCATTGCTTTAGCTACTCTCTGCTGAAGGGCAATTTCCAGAGTCTCTTCTGAGATCCATTTTGGTCTTTTCTTTCTTCTTTGTCTCTTTAATGACCTCTTGCTTTCTTCATGGATGATATTCTTGATGTCATCCCACAATTCCTCTGGTTTTTGGTGATTGTGTTCAATGCATCAAATCTATTCTTTAGATGGTCTCTAAATTCAGGAGGGATATATTCAAAGTCATATTTTGGCTCTCGTGGACTTTTTAATTGTCTTCAACTTCAAGTTGAAGCTGCATATGAGGAGTTGATGGCCTGTTCCACACTGAGCTGTTGGTCTTGTTTTGGCTAAATATATTGAGCTTTTCCATTGCTTCTTGCCACAGATGTAGTCAATGTGATTCCTGTGTACTCCATCTGGCAAAGTCCACTTGTATAGCTGCTGTTTGTGTTGTTGATAAAAGGTATTTGCAATGAATAAGTTGTTGGTCTTGTAAAATTCTGTCACTAAGCCTTAATTTTCCAACTACCAGTAATTCTTCTTTATTTCCAACTTTTGCATCCCAGTCACCAAGTGATAATTAACACACCTTGATTACATGTTCAGTCAATTTCAGACTGCAGAAGTTGATAAAAATCTTCAATTTCCTCATCTTTGGCTTTGGTGACGGGTGTGTAAATTTGAATAACCATAGTATTAACTGGTCTTCCTTCTAGGCATATGGATGTTACCCTATCATTGACAGCATTGTACTTCAGGATGGATCTTGAAACATCTTTGTATTGAATTCCACACCATTACTCTTCAAACTGTCATTCCTGGCATAGTAGATCATGTGGTCATCTGATTCAAAATGGCCAAAACAGGTCCATTTCAGCACTCCAATAATCATATTATTTTTTTTAAGAACTTTAAGGACAATTTTATTGTTATTTTACACAAATTTAATATTGTGAAAATGTCAATGTCCTTCAAATAAAAATATGAATTTAATGCATTTCAATCAGAATCTCAATTGCATTTGGGGGTAAATAGACCGCCACCCCCCAAAAAAGCAAACATAACACTGAGGAATTCTTACACTGGTAAGCAAATCTTATACAGAAAAAAAAAAAAAAAATCCATGAAGAGACTTGTCACACAAGATATTAAAATACACTATAAAGTGACCATCATAAAAATAGTGTGATCTTTGTGTGATATTATCTAAGCAAATAGATACAATAATTTTTGAAATCTAGAGAAAGGATGCTATAAAAAGAACATATGTTGCATATTGGATAAGAAAGAAAAGTTATTTAAAAATTTGTTTTTTCATAAGCCCAAGGCTTCTAATTTTCTTTAACTACAAAAGAAGGAAATCAACAAGATATGTAAATTATACAGAACTTGACTAATAAATTTTAATAATATTAGGTCTTAGAAATTATATAGTTACTGGATCTTATTTAAGGAGCTCAGGTGGCATAGTGCCTAAGGAATTTGACCGCTGGCCAGCAGGTTGGTGGTTCAAATCCACCAACCACTCAGTGGAAAGAAGACTGGGCAATCTACTTCTTTAAAGATTTACTACCTCAGAAACCAAAAGGGGGTTGCTGAGTCAGAATCGACCTGATGGAAGTGAGGTTTTTTTTTTGGTTTGAGTTCTTAGTTAATTTTGATCAGTACACATTGACTATATGCCATTCACCTGCTGAAACTAGACATATCTAAGGTATGCATAACTTCAGTTGTCTTCCATTCAAGATACCATATGAGAATTTAAGTAAATAATAATGAAATAAACTTAAATTTAATTTAGAAATTATAAAATGGTAAACCACTTATAAAATTATATATCTCATTATGATTAGCAATATCTGCAATATTTCTCAGAAATGATGAAATACCATTTCATTTTCTAATATTTAAAATTTCAGAATAAATACATTTTGACATAGAGAGGTTATATGACTTCCCCATTGTCAAAGAGATATCTAAAACTATGGACATATCTTAGATTATAAGCGGCTTCATGAATTACTAGCTTTTTAGCATTAGAACAACTTACAGTTTATCTGAATCTCACTTGTTGCCTAAATTGGGATAATAGTATATATTTTGTAGGTTTGCTATGACTAATAAAGTAGATAGTATATATAAAAGCATTTTTACAATTGCCTGACATGTTAAAAATCTCTTTGTTAACTCATACTGTTTTTAATTTTAAAAGTTAAAAAAAAAAATATATTGTTAAGAAAACAGAATCTCTTATGTTGAAATCGAATACTGGATCGCTATTAAAAATTCCACCAGATACATTCTTTAGAGTACATTGATGCTGTGAAAATGTCTGATTTTTCAAAGATTTGCAGAATTACAATAATTACCTTTGATAGGTACATTAATAACCTATTCTTTAGAAGTATATGCGATTGTTTTGTTTTGTTTTCTCCTCTTTTATTTACTGCTTGGTTTACACAGTGATGAGAAAAGAGCACCTGCTCTGGTAGTATAGTGGCTAAGGCACTTGACTGCTAAACCAGGTGGGTTTGAACCACCAGCCACTCCTTGGAAGGAAGATGGGGCAATCTACTTCCACAGTGATACTGCATCGGAAACCCAAGGAGGGGTTGCTATGAGTTGGGTCTGACTCGACGGCACATAACAACAACAACAGCTTCTTATGGAATTTATATAGAGATCTGTGATTATGAATATTCAACAAGTAATCATTTTAATTTTATATAATTTAGGAATTCCTGACTATTATTTCTAGGAATGATCATAAATGACACATTATAGCTAGTAATTTTCTTCTTTACATTCAGCTTCCTACAACCATGTCATGATCATATCTTGGCCTGTGAAATGCCTTTTAAAAGATGATTAACTAACATCAGTAGTAAAAGCACAACTACAAGTGTACTTTTCACTATATAGCAACCTTATCTTTAGAAGAAATTTGGTAAAGAACAGTTTAGAAACAGGGAGAGATATAACTGCATAATTCTTATGCTCCAGTAACTCTGTCATCAATATTTAAAATTTCAGATATTTTCATACCTTAGATAAGCCACAGTCACAGTCTTCTCCAACTTCCAGAAGTTTGTTTCCACACACTGGTGTTGTTATTATATTTTTAGAAATTGGTGGTTGCAAGAGGCATTTAGGTTTCTGAGATAAAAGGTATTTTTGGAAATGTGAGCAGCAAATTGTGCTGAAATCCTTTGGGAACTTTGAACTATGAAGAAAAGAAAAATCAGAAATAATATGATATAGAGTGTTATGGCTTTTGCAGTAGTAATGGACATGAGAATCTGACTTGTCCAACAGTACTGCTCGGTTCAGTAGAAATGTCAACCTTGATATCTGTTTAAAACTGCACTTTATTATATGGGGAGAGAAATCGACCGTGTATACTATACTGGATTTTTTTTCCTAGACATCCTGTTGTAGAGCTGGAGGTCTCATGGCATAGTGTCCAAGGCATTTGACTGTTAACCAGAAGACTGGTGGTTCAAATCCACCAGCCACTCCTCTGACATATTGGAAAATTGGGCAATCTACTTTTGTAGAGATACTGCCTCAAAAACCCAAGGAGGGTTCGCTATGAGTTGAATCCACTGGATGGCAGTGAGTTTGCTTTTTTTGGTTTGGTGAATTCAGTATGGTTCTAAATGACAGTGATGAGCCTCACTGTTTGTTGTCATCTACACATCTCATCACTGAGGTATGGGAAATAAGACATTTTATGACCAGTGGGAGGAAATAATTGCAGGTTTATCAGTTTTGTGGATATTATTCTTCTCTAAATTATGAGCACTTCAAGAACAAGGTAGTGCAACTCATTTTCCTATCCCAATTCCTTGCAAGATGCCTAGCACTGGCAGGCAATTAATAAGTACACAAAAATGGATTGATTGATTGATGGATGGAGATATATGAAGATGTTTTCCTAATCTTAATTATCTTCATATTTGTAGAAAATATTATATAATATCAGATTCAAATAATATGATCATCATAATTATAAGACTTGTTATAGTTGGAAATCTTAAAGAACAAACTCTAATAACAGAAGAGTAAGTTAATGACATATAGAGCCCTCAGGGAAATATATCCAATTGACATATGTAGACTGCTTATGAATTCTTTAAGAATTGTGGAAGCATTGATTTCTTCAGGGTGACAAGGTCTCACCTCAGATACTGATTCATCACACAACTCCCAGAGGGACACTTGGTGTAATATGGAATATCAGGCATACCAAGGACATGGCCCAACTCATGTGCCATCACTGCAACAAGAGCTACATTATTCTTTCTTTTAGCCTGTGGGGAAAAATAATAGAAGCCTTTATTACTTCTATTTTATTCAGTTATTTCTTAATTGTTGCAGAATTAAAAGGAAAAAAAAAAAAAGCATGAGAGATGAAATATAATGGGTTACTAAGCTCCTTTCCCTGTCACTGTTAAATGAACATTTGAGATGGTTGGGTTTTGAAAATCCAGTTATTGAGTCATTGTTCAACATACACTTATTGAGCTAATGGACAGTAATTTCTCTGTAAATTATGGTTAAATTAACTTAAGTGCATTCCTCATAGGAAATATTAAAAACTAAAGTACTATGGACACAGAAGTCTCCAAAAAGTATTACTATGGTGGCTAGGGCATTTGTAGAACCTGGCCATGTGTTCTGGTTACCTAGTGCCACTCTGACAGGAATATATCACAAATGAGATGGCTTGAACAAACAGGAGTTTATTCTCTTACAGTTTGGAGGCTAGAAGTCTGAGTTCAAAGTGCCAGGCTCTAGGGGCTGTGTGAAAGTCCCTCGACCTTGGGCTTCAGCTCTGCCTCCAGTTCCCGGTCCACTGAAGCTAGAGGCTTTTCTTCACTCAGGCAGCTACTGGCTGCCGAGGCTAACAAGCCCAAGGTCAACAAATAAAATGGCACAGTCCTGAAGCTTCCAAACCACACAGCAGGGCATTAATTCATGTCCATTGCAAATCCCAAGGTGGGCAAAGCATGGCAGGCTGCTGAAAAATGACACGGCTACATGCAGGGTCCAAGCATACCATAATCAAGAGACTATCCCCAAGGCTTCTGCTTATATACAGGAAGCAGATCACATTCCATAAGGAAACTACTCAGCTGCTCACAGTAGATTCCACCATGGAGTTGATTACTAGTCTCATCATGGGGAATACTATATCCAACAGCCCAGCCACTCAACCAGGCCCAGCCAAGTTGACACACAAACTGAACTACCATACCATGTGAGTCTTCCATGCACCTTTGTTACTAGTGTGAACTCTGGCGATCAGTGCAGAGGCCAATTTTGTGTTAGCTCAGGCTGCAAAAGGAACCCACACACCCTTTCTGTCCCAATCTCTATGATTTTGTTTCCTAACACTAACTAAAGAGTTATGTCTCCAGGGAGGGCCAATGTAAAAGGAAATTATATTTCAAAATCCAAGGAATATTTAGTGGAATAACCCACCAGTAAGTTTATTTCTAATAAACAAATAAATAAACTTACTGGGAGCTCTGGTAGCATAGTGCCTAAGGCACTTGACTGCTAACCAGAAGGCTGGCAGTTCAAACCCACCAGCCACTCCTTGGAAGGAAGGTTGGGCAATCCTACTTCCATAGTGATACTGCCTCGGAAACCCAAAGAGGGGTCGCTATGAGTCGGGGCTGACTTGATGGCAAATAACAACAACAACAACAACAACAAGTTTATTTCTACATTTATTTATTAATTCAAGGGTTTATTGTGGCAATACTGTATACAGCATATGCTAGTTTTTACAGAAGATTTAGAACCACAGAGACACTTTCTGTAAGTTTACTAACCTCAATAACAGCAACCGAAGATGGAGTACACAAAGAATTTGAGGCTGCCAATCCTACACGTCGGTTGGTGAAGCCAACTCCACTGTATGAAAGTTACAGATATACTGTCACAATTTGAGTCTTCAGAACCATTACCTCCCATCAATTACATTGCAGATTTCCTTTGTTGCCTAAGCCTTTTTATTTTCACCATCTTCCAGAAAAGTTTTTCCTGTTCTACAGCATTATAATGACACCAGATGATTAACTCACACCTAACTTCTTCTTCTTTTTTTTTTTTTTCCTTAAATCTGAGACATACCTTCCATAATTTCACAACTGAATTGCTAATAGTAGAACTTAAGGCACTCTGAAAACTGAGTAGGAAGATATAATTAAATTGAAATACCTAAGAAATCTTGGCAGTAAGTATCCACACCACTTATGTACACCTGTCTTGGAAAGCATGTGCTTACCTGAGGAGCTGAATATGGTCATGGATCTTCTTTTTCACCAAGTTAGAACGATGCCAACTCAGGAAATTGTTAAAGGTGACTCCTGCATCGGGTACCACCTTCATCTTGTCTCCATCAGACCAGATTTCCATACCTACCAAAGCCACTCGAATATCTATGGTATTATAAATCTGTAAAAAGACCATTTTTCTTCACAAAATGTTCAGTATTCCTTTAGTGTTTTAGACCTTTTGTCTGCAAACCTTATTGCTGTTGAGTTGACTCCAACTCCTAACGGCTCTATAGGACAGAGTAGAACTGCTCCACAGGGTTTCCAAGACTATAATCTTTATGGAAGCAGACTGCCACATCTTTCTCCTGTGGAGAAGTTGAGTGGATTAGACCTGACAATCTTTTGTTTAGCAGCTGAGAACTTTACCACTGAGGCACCAGGGCTCATTTTTTGGATCACAGGTGATAGATAAATCAATCCCATTTTGATAATGGAAATCCTAGATGTTGCCTTTGGTACATGGATGTGTTTTTTACCTTAATGTTCATCTTTGCCCTGCTAAATTTCCTGCATTGTGACCCTATCACCTATCAAACCCTCTTTGTGGTAAAATTATAGGGAAGTCCCAGGTTCCTATGTGGAAACAAATGCTTATGTGACAGCTATCTTACCACATTGAGTAAGTTCATCACATCAAACACAAAGCTTCTTATTGAAGTTAGATTCCCTTTATACATGTTATACTGCAAAAAGAAAAAAAAATCACAATTTAAGTTATAGTTAGAATATCAAATTAAAATGAGAAAACTGATAGGGTACAGGATTTCACATTTTAAAAATTTACACAGTTTAGTATAATAAAACATGTATTTATTTCAATGCCTTCCTTATGTAAGACTCTGTGTTTCCATAAATTTTATTTCAAATCTAAGATTTTTTTTTAGTAAGAGAAAATTAGACATCCATATAAAATATTTGTGTTTTTATCTTCAATTTGGATAAATCAAATGATAATATTTAGCATTTTTAAACTAATCCCATATTATTAAAATTTGATTATAAAAGCAATTATTTGCCGGGTAGAAACACTGACTTCAATACTTTTTCTTTGCATATGTAAATATAGTTCATAAGGCAGACACAGTTTTTTGCCAATATCTGAACATTTTGTTAGCAGATGAATATTAAAGAGGGTGAGTGATTGAGAACTATTGCTGGCAAAGAAGAGAGAACAGACAAAACAACTAGGTAGGTAAGCTCTGTATTGCTAGCTAAATTAGTTTGTTGCTTGCTTGCTTTGCATAAGTAAACTTAAGAGTTGACTTAATGGTCCAGGAATTCACATGTTTCATACTCACAAAAGCATTATCCAGCACTAAAAAGAGGTCAATGTATTTCTCAGCGTGAAGAAAGTCTTCTTGCTTTACAAAGAGAAGAGTAAAAGATCATTGTTAATAATTATTTCACCCTGAAAGATTCAAATTCAAAAGCTATGAAGATATATATATATATGTGTGTGTATATATCTATGAAT